CGGATCAGCTCATTATAGGACGTGGTCAAGAAATAACGGTGTTAAAGTGAACAAATTTAAAAGACCTAAGTTCGAGTCAATACGTACACGAGACTCATCTCACCAACTGATCATCACCAACAGTAAATAAATGGAGAAAGTGTGGCCGAGTGGTTGGAAAAGGTCGCTCTAAAAAACGAACATTTTTTGTCACTAATAAAAACCTAGCACTAAGTTTAGCCACTCACCGAAGTGTCAGCCTCTAAAGTGCAGGTTTTCCTTTATATGAAATTCGTCTCCAGAAAAGCCCAAAATTCGACATCGTTGCCGCCATTTCCTGTTGTCATAAAGCTCTCTAGAGCCTCTAATTTCATTGGATTTTGTCAGCACAAAGCTCTATTGGTTTTGGGCTACGGTCCATTGTTACTATTGTTTGTATATCATTTTCTCAGCCAATCCTGTGAGACGTTCCGAAGAGCTGCCATTTCGAACAGTACTCAGCAGCCAGGCCGCGTTTTCGTGACGTCATTTGGTCCAGGGGATTTTACAAGCCTTTCAACTACCACTCCAGGTTATGGCTACTCTTGAGCCTTTTATCGAAAATAATAGCAGTGAAGATAGTGAATGGATAATCGCTTGAAAAAATACATTTTGCTGACCTTGTGAAGGATGCCAAGTGAGTTGCAGGTTTTTCTGCTTCCCGCCACTTTCGACTTGGACGGAATGACGTTACTGACAAAAACACGGCCTGGCTGTCAAGTACAGTTTCAAACTTGCCGCCCCGATAGTTGAACTTTGGGCTTCTTTCGAGACTAATTTCTTCAGGATAGCAGGCACTTTATAGGCTAAAACTTCGCTGAGTGCAAAAACCAATGTTTACTTGCCATAGGTGGAGACAAAAAAGTAAGTTTTCTGGAGTGACCCTCTCCTTTATTTAATCCGGAGGTCCCGGGTCTCGACCCTGCACCATATTGCTGGCTTGTATTTTCTCTCAAGTCGTGAGTTCAACTTCTCGGCACGTCGTATAAAAACTTCACTGATTCACGACTGCTGTGATGTTTAATACTGAAGCATATTTTGTTTCTTCTGTATGAGACATGTCTGTAAATCATACTTGACCTGTGAGTTTTACCACGATAACAATAATACTGTTTTATTCGATCTACCATAACTATACTATTTCTATTTGAAGTTTGTGTCTCAAAGAATTCCTCTACATAACACAGTCAAGAGAAATGAGAGGGCTGACGTTAATATGTAATAACTCGGCTTCATGTTATTGTCTCCTTACAGCTGAACCTGTGTGGCACTATGCGTCTACGACAAGTTACGAAGCTGGAAACCGTTATTATGGAAGGTAGGATATAACAAAAATTTCGATTTGTATGAAATTCGTAGTAGCCTGTGAAAAGCAGTCAGCTCTCCACTAGTAAAATCGAAGGGAGGACAAGTGTGTGAGAACAAGCGAGTAAAAGAGAACGAGTGAGAAGAGCTTCTTTCTTGTTAGCTGCGTGGGTGTACTGAGAGCGACACGACATGAGAAATACTTTGCATTCGTTTCCCAAGCAAAATGTCTTAGATGCAGTTGGTAAAACATGTTATTCGTCATCGCTTTAAAAATTGACCGATTAGACAGACAAACGAAAAATTGTCTTTTCAAGTTGCCTCTATAAACCCAGCTTTAAATTTGGACTTTTCTTGTAATTTGTTTCCAGTATCTACTTCGTTTGTTTCTGTCATTGTTTGTTAATACCTTTATCTCATTACCTTCTTTCAGAAAGTAAAGGTCTGATACACAGTTAGTAAAACTTCTTACACGTCATCGCTTTGAAAATTGGCCGATTAGACAGACAAGCGAAAAGTTATTTCTTAAAGTTACCAATTTTAAATGTGGACCTTTTCTTGTAATTTTTTACAGCATGTGCGTTGCATGTGCCGTCATACACTGATCTTTTGCATGCATTTTGCTTTATAGATATAGCGATAATCAACTTGCCCAAGACGCCATGAATGTAACCCTGTTTCACTGGGGCATCCACGGCTGGATAGTGTACGTTGTTGTTGGTCTTCTCCTCGCCTTTGTGGGTTACAGAAAAGGCCTTCCCATGACCATGCGCACTTGTTTCTATCCTCTCATTGGCGAAAAGATCTATGGTTGGATGGGAGATGCCGTAGACATCCTTTCGGTGGTATGTACAATGTTTGGCGTTTGTACCAGTCTGGGTATCGGTGTTATTCAGATGAACACCGGCTTTAACCGCATTTTCAAGATTGACGTCACAGTCACTAATCAAATCATCATCATTTGGTGCGTCACTGCATGTGCTACAGCCTCAGTGATCAGCGGCCTGAAGGTTGGAATCCGTCGCCTGAGTGAAATCTGTTTCACCCTCGGGATGTTCCTGATGATGATTGCTTTCTTTTCCGACAACACTTGGCACATACTCAACGTTTACGTTCAAAGCATTGGCTACTACCTGCAGTGGATTGTGCAACTTGGCTTTCATACAGACGCGTTTGCACAACTTGGTAATGCACCGGACGGGAAGGAAGCCCAATCATGGATGAACGATTGGACCATCTTCTACTGGGGATGGTGGATCGCCTGGTCCCCTTTTGTTGGTATGTTCATTGCCAAGATTTCAAAGGGAAGAACCATCAGGCAGTTTATCAATGGTACAATGACGGCGCCTATAATATATTCGTTCCTGTGGTTCTGCATTTTTGGTACCGCGGGTTTAAAGATGGAACGAGAGGCTACGTTGGCCAACATCACCTGTAATTCTACGCTCGGAGGAAAGGGTAGTACGAAGGCTTTGAATGGCATGTTCCGCCTCTCGTGCCGACAAACAAACGACATGTGGTTTGATGTGATGGGCCAGTATGGTGACCTGGGAATGTTCCTTTCAGTGGTTTCACTGGTTAGCATTATCCTTTACTTTGTGACCAGTTCCGACAGTGGCTCCCTAGTCATCGACTGCCTCTCTGCCAACGGCGATCCTGAACCACCCGTCATTCAGCGCATCTTTTGGGCGTTAACAGAAGGTGCCTGTGCAACGGCTCTGCTTTATTCGGGAGGTACTAACGCTTTGAAAGCTCTGCAGGCAATGTCCATATCGGCTGGCGTCCCTTACACTGTCCTGTTGTGCTTTATGTGTGTGTCTTTATGGAGAGCAGTTAAAATGGATGCTGGTGATCTTGACCCTCACGGCCCCCAGTTTACTACAGGCCTCTTAGACGTGCTTAGCAATCCCACTCTGTCAAGCGTTGGAAAAGTTCTTCTTGCAGTCGTGGCACCATGGTATCCACTTAGTAAAGCCGCAGCAAAGATCGGCGGACCAAACGACCGCAAATGGCTGTATATGTTGGTTCTTGCAATTCCTTTTTATCTCTGGATTGTTTTCATGGCCTTCGAACCCATCGTTGAGGGCATATCATACGTTGGTTGGACAGTACTATGCGGATTCTTCGCCTATGCGACCTCTATCCGTAACTCCATACGAGAGAAGTATGGTATCTATGGCAACATGGCTGAAGATTTCTTTGCAGTGATGTTAACATACCCCTTTGCAGCTTACCAGATGGAACACCACATGGACAACGTGGACTACGATCTGGGTAAACCGGGGCGAAACGGTGCCGCCAACCACGATATCGGCCTGTCCGAGGTTCACGTCAACCCGCTAACCGATAGCCACGATCACGTGTCTGAACTTGATGCCAACACCCTGTCCAAAGAGGACGAGGCAAATGCGATTGCCAATGGTACAAACGGCCATGCTGACACTGCAGCGGATGTTTATGTCAACCCGCTTCCCGAAGAGGACATTAAGTTGTAACCATCCGTGATGGCATTGCTAAGGCAGGAATGAACAGAATCAAACTCTCGTGACTTTCATTTTGTCTCAAGTCAAGCGGACTTTTGTATCGTTCCATTAGTCAACCTTTAATCGCTCGCTAACAGACACCCTGTTTTTAGGGACCCTTTCTCTTAACAAAGTTATGGACGAGGCTGACCAAAGTTTATATAACATGCGAAGGATGTACCTAAGCTTAGAGTTGTTTCCTTAATTACAGTACTACTACCTTCTTTGTTAACATGATTTGAAAAAATGTACCAGATTTTCAGCACTTTCCTACTCCGGTTCACTCCAGGCTCGAAAATTTGAAAAAGTGTTGCAAAATTTGAAAATCACGTTGGCCGGCAGCCTACGAGAAAGGAGGACGTATTGGCTTACACCAAATTCTCCCAAGATTCCCTATAGAAAATGTACGATAAGGATGAAGGAGAATATTGAAGCTGATGTACCTTAGAAACCTTCACGGTTGATGCTTTTGATAGCAAACCAGTCGTTTACATGTATAACGAGTAGCGACCCAGTAGCAGAAGCAAAGCATAAAATTGTAACTCGAGAATTCGAGAAGTGGAGTATTTAAGCCGCGCTATTTTAATTCTTTATTGAGAAAACGGAGCATGGCTCACTTAGCTGTTAATTTATTTAATTAAATTGTAGATGTGTTTTTTTTTATGACAAGAGCTGCCAACAAAGTTAGCTTCTATTGTCTCTCTGAAGAATTTAAAACCATTTTTTTTTTATTTTCCATCACATATTTGAAAAGATAACAGCATGAAACATGTACAAGTAGAATGCTCCACGGCCAAAAATGTAACCTTATGTGGTTCATTTGCTTTCAAAACTGAGCAGATGCTGTCGTAAACTGCTCCAGTAATACAAGGCAAGTAAGATTGTACATAAGTTCCTCTTTCCTATATATACCGTATACAACAGCAATCGAATTTTGTCTTTAGTTTATCTACCCAGTGTTAAACGGTCTATTGAGATCTTCGAATGTACTTTAAAAAGCCGTCATAGGTCAAACTAGTATAATATAAAAGCTACTTTTTGCGCCTTTTTAATTGAACAAATAGTTGAGGAGTCCGTTTTGAATACGTATTCATTCAGGCTGTAACGCAAATCAATAAATACTGTTTACGCTTATGTATGTCGGCTTGAAGCTTCAGCCCAACCCGAAGATACAATAAACGCCAAAACCAAGGGCGTGGTCAGGTTGTGGTTTGGCTAGCGCTGTACGCGCACGAAATAGAGGGTCTTAGGGAATCCATACGGGAACACCATTGCCGTGGGGAGAGGTTTTACACTAAGGGTTCGAAAATGTCCTCTTTTCACGCACTTTCAGATCGTGCTTGGTCACCGCATTTCAAGGGCTCTAATTTTAACATAAATTACAGGTACGCAAGATCAGTAAAGTGTGTCGGCCCAGCCCTGTAGACTTGCTGCGCACGTGTCGGTTTGATTTTGAAGGGTAGTATTGAGCAGAAGGTCACGGGGTCGACCCCCGTCAGGGAATCAGACTTTTTTGTCCTCTTCGTTTCGTGCTCCTCTACAGTACTCACAAGTGATGTAAAGTTGAATAAGTTTTAAAGCTGGAAGGGGCATTTATTGGAATATGAACGCTTATAAGAAAAGACGGTTCTCAGTGGGGTAGTGCTTATTAGACCGGTAACAAGAGTACTAGCCCGCCTATTGCCTTCCCCAATCGAAAATTCCGTATGCTTACAGCAGCGCGTTCTCGCGCACAAGCAAAAGTACAAGCAAAAGAACAAAACATTTTGTTCTGCTTGTACTGTAGTTATGCTTAAAGGATCAAATGAGACGAAGGAGTCAAATGAGTCGATGAGTCAATGAGTCAACGAGTCAATGAGTCAAGTTAGAAAAATGAAAATTTGCCATTACAAAAGAAAATACAAAAACAATGTAAATACCGTACAAAGCATTTTCCATGCTGAAGCACTTTTCATGAAGATTGAAGAGGCCCCAACAA